AGAGCGCTGCACTAGTATCGCAGAGGTCAGTGGTTCGAGTCCCGTACAGGCCTGATTTTTTTCAGGTCTGATTTTCGCTATTGCTTAAATAGCGCTATCTACTGCGAGGATCGTGCATCATACGTATCAAATACCGCAGTTCAAAATATATGATTTTCATATATTTATTCTATCTCATTTATCACTTTCACGGGTTCATTACGAATCAACTTAACGGCCTGCTCTCAGTTGGCTTGTTAGCTCAATTGGTAAGAGCGCTGCACTAGTATCGCAGAGGTCAGTGGTTCGAGTCCCGTGCAGGCCTGATTTTTTTCAGATTTTCGCTATTGCTTAAATAGCGCTATCTACTGCGAGGATCGTGCATCATACGTATCAAATACCGCAGTTCAAAATATATGATTTTCATATATTTATCCTATCTCAATAATAGGATTACTTTGGTACTGCACTATGCGTCGATCAGTTCGAACCTTCAACAACCCATATTCTCATTGAATATCCAAAGCACATCCTCCCACGGGTAACCCACCGGGTATTTAAACTATTGAAGATTGCCACGTTCAAATCCCCCCCTCCCCTAGGCCAAAATTTAGTTCAACTGCCCCACCCCGTATCGAACGATTCTTTGTGTGATCAACGAATGTTGGAGAATGTAGCAAAGTCACGTGTTATTTTTTGCTACTACTGTGGGTTTGTCGTTTGTAAGCATCATTCTATGTTGTGAAAATTGTCTTTCAAAGTCATTCGCTCACGAAAGCAGACTCTACCTTTAAACACCTCTACTGATACAATTATTACGCAGGAACGAATTGACACTTCCGGTTCAAATGCCCCACCCGACTCCGGGAAGGTTCAAATCCCCTATCCCTGATAAACGTCGACAGTCGTATGCCTGTGAGTTACCCTGGGGGAAATGTCGAAGCTTTGACTTGATTGGTGTTTTAATACAGTACGTTTTGCAAGGTTCAAATCCTCTATCCCTGATAAACGTCGACAGTCGTATGCCTGTGAGTTACCCGAGGGGGGGGATGTCGAAGCTTTGACTTGATTGTCCAGAGGTTCGAGTTTTCCTTTCAACTCATCGAAACGAAACCAATCACGACTTGAATATTTGCGTTTTTCCGCCCTTGAATTATTCTGCCAGTCTTACTCTGAATCCTCACTGTTCCTCTCTTGCATATTCCTCGGCTCCACTTGGTCGTTGTGATGTACCTTGTTTTGGTCTTGCGATGCACAATCGAAATATGTTCAAAAAGTGATTTCATCCTTGAGATTTCTTTCTCGGTTGAGACGGAAGCGGGGGTGGGGAGAGGAGGGGAGGTGATAACTCTCCTTGATTTGGCACAACTGAGCATGGTTTTCAGGGTTTGAGTATTGAACAAAGTATACCATCTAATCATTTGCCATCTTGTACCCGGGGTTTACTTGTGTAGAGGAAGCTTTGAACAGATTACGAAATTGGTGGTACCCGCGTTCAGTGAAAGAATTTGACACGAGCAGTCCTTCCTTTTCGACGAAGTCCGTCGCACGAGTATATAAAAATATCGGTGAAAAAGAAGTTGATCTTAGCCTAGCCCGCCGTGGGAAGTTCTTTGAGTAACGCCGATGCACCGTAAGAGTTCCTGCGGCGCTTTGGCGCCACTCCCAAGAGTTCTCCCCAGCGCGCCAGCAGCAATTCTTTTTTCACTGATTTTGTTTTTTTATCAGCGCGACAGACTTCGCTGATAAAGGGGGACCGCTCGTAGGCTAATATCGAGAAGAAGTCTGCTGGAATGGATTTGGAGCATAGAACGTGATATCTCAACCTCACTGCAGATCAAAAGATCCGTAATCAGAAGTTAAAAATCTCAGAAAAACTATCCTCGGCCCCTGTGATCCTACGTACTGACGTGGGAGGGGAAAGTATGACTGTCTTCGTCCCCACTCTCTGCGCATCATAAACCGTTCGAAACGCGTGGGACGACAGTGGAGTTTCCATCAGTGAATTGTACATGTGTTGGAATATAGCTTAGTTTTCTACAAGGTAAATTACCCACTTTTGAAATGAATGAAATTTTTTAATCTTTGATATTCTCTTCCTCAACCCTAAGGTTCTTCGTTCAATATTAGCTCTATAAACCTGCTTGTGACTATCAGTACGTGCCCTACTTCTACGCTGCATCTAAATTATGCTTTTCATTTCACTATAAAATCTAGCTTTCTTATTAATTGTTTGCGGTGAGAAAATTATCGGGAAAAATGGAATGTTAAGGATTTTTCCTTTTAAAACTGGGAAGGAAGGAATAGTTGCAGGCTGTTTCATTACTCGTCATGGATAATGAGTTTATGTTGTTGATGAACTGTACCTGTCGTACGACACTAATGGGCTATTCCCTCTCGAAGCATATCCAGGATTCTGTTGTATAAAGCGACTAAGATTATTGTTACCTCCCAAGGATGCGATGCTGGTCTCTTTTTAATATCGGCTGAATGCTCTAGTACAGTGAAGCTCCATACCCCTCTTCCAATGGCCCCCTTTCTTATAAGCTTCCTGCTTGCTTATAAACCCCTTTTCAAATTAGACCCCTCTCTTGTGGCATCCCATTTGGAAGCCCTAGAAGTGAAAAACCCACACAGGGGGTTTTTGGAGTAAACATGATAACCCCTCAGAACTTCATCATCTCTTTCGGACAGTTGGCTGAAATCCATTTACACATTTTGGGAGGAAAGAGAAACTGAGAGCAAAGTGAAAAAAAATCCCCAGTGTGGATTTTTGTCTAAGTCAGATCTTAAGATAGCTGTCTACCATTGTTGGGCTTTAGTAAGGATGGAAACTGCTCAAGTGTTCTAAATCCGTTCCTTTCATATTTTTGTTGGCTCATTTGATCATTTTGATAATTTGATATGACCAAAAGTTTTATGTCTTTTGGCAGATACCTGTAGGACCTTTAGAAATAATTTTAGGGACATCTGTTTTGCTTTGGCAAAGCAAAACAGATGTCCCTAAATCAAAAACAGATGTTTGGTTCTTATTGGAGAGATATGTTGGGAAAAATAGGGGGGAAAATTTTGATACAAAATCAAAAAAAAATTTGAAGGAGTACCAGATTGATCATTGAAATAACAATAATGCTATGATCTTTAGAACGATTTTATTCCACACTGAACAAGTGAGACAAAGAAAAAAAAAAAGTCACCTAGAGGAATTTAACCTCAGACCTTCCATTCCCATGCTCCAATGCTTTTGAAGTGAGCTAAAGAGAAGCCTATAGTGAGGTAGCCTTAAAACATGATATCTTTGTTATTTCTTTTTACACATGATGCTTTGTATCATGTTGATCCTAGTTTTATGCAGAATGCAAGTCACATGTGAATGTAAAAATGGCTTGATTCACCATTGGAGTTATTTGTTACTCACTGGTGGGAAATTCTGAAATCTGAAGATTCTAAGTCAAATTTGAAATAGAAATTCAATTTTTTTGTCTTGTACTTGTGGAGGTCATCCTTCCTTATTCCTCTACCAAACTAAAGTTTGTAACTGTATTGACCCAATGTCATAATAAAGTGATTTGATCATCACCGCACTTTTGGGAATTTGAAAATTGCTCACTGCCTTATTTCTGCTACTGCTTAATTAAGTAGTGTTCATAACTGTGAAGATCACTTTCACATTAATTTTGATTATCAATTGTTAACCAATATCACTCGGAAAAACTTCTGTTTAAAAAATAGGTACTTATGGGCAACCACATGATAGATGTTTCCTTGTTGGTATCATCTGTGATTTGTTTTGATTAGAACAGCTTGGAGGACATTCTTTTCATTATATAATGTGCGTTCAGCCTTGGGCTAAAAGGTGTTGGTTTGAACACTTGCATGGTCATTGTCATTTGGTTGTGGGCAAGACCCTTTATTTTAACTTTGTCTTTCTCCACTTTGCTGCACAAGTGTCAAAGGGGGGAGGGGTGAGGGGAAGGGGTGAGGGGAAGGGGGTGATGGGAATCAAAGCCATAGCTATTGGGGGGCTCCCATCCATTTTGGGTCCCATTTTTGTGGAGAAAAAAGTGTTAAGAGGCTAATCTAGTACAATCCAGAGGAGAAATGCTTGCTGTGCTCCCACAAATGGTAAAAGTAACCCAAAAGAAAGGACAGGGAGGGGTGGGTAACTTTCAATGGACTATCATCTCTTCAAGGGAGGGGGTGATAGCTTTTTCCTAGTTTCCCCATGCTTCTGAAAAAGGGATAAGCTCTGGCAATAAGATATGAAAAAGCTGGGCTTGTGAGACTCTACCTTATAATGTGCATTTACTGTCTACAAGCCCTTTGAGTGACTTGTACATGAACTTCTAGGTATGTCATGGAAATTCTTTCACCAACCAGTGAACAGATGATACTTTCTAGTCTGACCCATATCGTGTCCGAGAAAGTGTTTGGGAGCGGCTTGGTTGGAATATTGAGAACAGCGTGATGCTGTAACGTGCCCTCTAGTCTTAATTTTACTTTTTTGACCTGTCGCAAAGATGAAATATCGTTAAACTTACTTTTTCTGTTGTAGGAGCGGCGATCTCATGAGTGAATTTGCAATAAAAGCTGAAGGCAAAGGGCTAGAGAATGAGGAAGACAAACCTGAAGAACGGGAGGAGATGAAGCTTAAGAAAAAGAAGAGGAAATCAAAAAGGGAAGACCAAATATCCGAAATGAAAGCTGAAGGTGAAGTTTCAAAGAAGGAATCAAAACACCATGTAAAGGAAGATCAAGTAGAAGAAAGGGAAGATGGACAAAAAAAGAAAAAGAAGAAGAAATCAAAAGAGGATGGGGGAATCTCTGAAACAAAAGCTGAAAGAGAAGGCTCAAAGACAGAGTCGAATTGCAATGTAGAGGAAGGTAAAGGAGAAGAAATGGATGAGAGAAAACATAAGGAAAAGAAGAAAAAATCAAAAGAGAAGGAAAAAGCCTACGAGACCAAAGCTGCGATAGAAGTCTCAAATAAGGTGTCGAAACTCAGTGGAGGTGGAGGTAAACGTGATGAAAAGGAAGGGAGAAACCTTGAGAGAAAGATGAAGAAATTAAAAGGGGAAAATGAAATCTCTGAGAAAACAGCGGAAAGCAAAGTCTCAAATGAGGAGTCTAAACACTCAAAAGATGAAGATAAAGTTGATGAAAGGGAAGAGAAACAAAACAAGAAGACGACGAAAAAATTAAAGGAGAGAGAGGGAGTCTTCGAAACAAAAGCTGAAAGCGAAGGCTCAAAGTCAGAGTCGAAGAGCAACTTAGAGGACGATAATTATGAAGAAAGGAAAGAGACAAAACCAAAGGAAAAGAAAAGCAAAACGGCGTCTAAAGGAGACGGGAAAATCGTCGAAGTTGAAAGTGAAGTCTCCAATACAGAGTCAAAACACAATAAAGAGGATGATAAACCTGATGAAAAGGAAAAGAGAAACCATGAAAGAAAGAAGAGGAAATCTAAGGGAGAAGACGAAATCTCTGATACAAAAGTTGAAAGCAAAGTCTCAAATGAGGAGTCAAAACATCATTTGAATAGGGAAGATAAAGCTGGAGAAAGGGAAGAAGGAAAAAACAACAAAAAGAAGAAGAAGCAATCAAAAGAGAAAGCCGAGGGAATTTCCGAAACAAAAGCTGCAAGTGAAGGCTCAAAAACAGTGTCGAAACTCAACACAGAGGAAGATAACGTCGAGGAAGAAATGAAAAAAGCAAAGCGAAAAAAGGAGAAAATGAAAGCGGGGGATATGGAGCCCGAAAAGGAAGGATCAAAACCGGACGCTGAAGAGGTAGATGTCGAGAAAAAGTCGAAACGCGATCGAAAGAAAAAGAAGAATGAAAACGAAACCAAAGAAACTTTGGACGTCGAGGACGTGGATGAGAAGTCTACATACGGTACGAAGAAAAGGACGATTGATGATGTTGAAGTTAAGGAGGGAGGACACAAGGCTAAGAAAAAGAAGGCTGAGAAAGAAGAAAGAGAACAAGACTGTAAAACTAAAGTGGAAGGAAAGACCAAACGGAACCATACGGACAAGGAAACTGTCGGACAAGAATTCGATGTAGAGGAAAAGAAAACGAAAAAGAAAAAGACCACACGTGAGGAAAAAGATGACCCCTCTGAAACTAACCAAGGAAACGAGAAAGAGATTGCAAAATCAGATGAAAAATCTTCATCTGAGGTAAAACGCAATAAGACTAGGTTTCAGGTTAAAAACTAAAATGCAGAGGCAATTCTTTGAGGTGAAATGTCACCTTGTGTGAGAAACTTTGCCATGTATGTTGTTTACAAAGGATGACTTTAGTGCTCTAACAAATGATCAGTTTGCACATTCTCCATACTGTTCTCTACACATTTATTAGGGTGCTGACAAGGAGAATTTGTTTAACAATCGAAGTTTATTTAGTCGGTGATCATTTCCTTTATTCTCCTGACCTCAATGTATGATTCAGGGCTGATATTGTTACCGTGAAGGAGAAATAAGATGCTGGTCACTCTTTGGGGTGAAAGGGTTCTATAAGAGGAGGGCCTGGGGAGACCAGGAATGTGGCATTTTGCTTGGAGCAAAGGAAATCGAGGGAGGGTTAGTGAGATTCAAAGCTGAAGCCAAAAGCTGTCTTTACCATAAAACGTCGAATTAATTTATTTTTTCTTGATTTTTCTTCGACAGTTCGGCCAGTGGGGTGGGACTGAGTTTGGTAGCAACGAACGGAAGGACAAATTTCTACGCTTGATGGGCGCCTACAAGAATAAACCTACTAAGGAGTCATCTGGAACTATTGTGGGCTCAAAATCTAGTCGCCATTGTATGACTAAAGCCACAGAAGATTCGCTTACCAAGGGACTGGAACAGCAGTACGAGTCTGCCATGAATTTCAGCAGGAATCGGAGGGGTCTGGGGCTTGGCTATAACCCGGATGAGGACCCAAGCAACAAATTATTCTACATTGATAAAACCGCTTCTAAATCAGCCAAGTTAAGTTAGTGTGGCTTTGACAAAGATAATTTCAGGGATGGAAGTTTATCACTTAAGAATAAAATATCATTTTCGTAGACACGAACGATATCCAAACTCTTGTTCAAATTAAACACTATGTACCAGCTAAATCGTTGACTTTACTCTGCAAATTTAGTCGCCAAAGTATTTTTTTCTGGTCACTGTGGCGACCACAGCTTGGAGCGATACACATTTTCGCCGTCCGTAAGGTCCGCAACTCAATATACTTTCTATGCGTACCCGAGCGAATTGCCGTTGCCATCAAATTATAAAATTCTATCTCTAACTAACATGAAACAGAGACACTTCGATGAGTTCAGAATATTTTAATTCGCCTACAGTACTCTTTGTTACAGTAAAATTTTATTTAATGCAGTCGATATACAAATCATACAAGTCGCTCGATGGCGCTCCCTCTTTCCACGTCCGATCACGATGTGTTTGTTTGCCCTACTGATCTTGATATCTGAGCGTAATAATTTTTCGAATTTTTTTTTTTTCTTCTGTCGATGAACCATACTGACTTGGACACCATTAATCATCCGTTAATCACCCATATTGACTTGGACACCATTAATCATCCGTTCAGTGACTCCTAATAAAACTCTGCGAAGACCAGCTTCAAATAAATTACAACTCTATCTCTCTGGCCACAGACAATCATTCCTTCAGTCAAAAATCTTATATCGCAAATCAGTTTTGTATGGTCATCATGAATGGTCGGTGTGGACCGTAATTCTCGGCGAGAAAAAAGACGTCCGCGTGAGTGTAATCCACCAGAGGTGTCCACATTCCTTCTCTTACGTTTCACGCGATTCCGTCCTGTTCTTGACGACGTTGTTTCCGTATCATCCTGTAGGCCATAATGGCGCGTTTTCTGTCCTTGTCGGCTTTTTCTTGCTCAAGAGCTGACATGTGCTTGCGTTTTTTGGTTTTTGTAATCCCCGAATTATCTGGAGTCCTATTTTGCATATTTGTCTCTTTTGTCTTCTGTGGAAGTAGCGAGTGCAGCAACAGCGCCTTGGATCCCTTAGACAGAGTAAAATCAAATAAATGCAACGCCCCGTGACTATGCGAGTTAGTAGAAAATGCAATGGTGTGAGTGTTCACGATAAATTTGTTAAGGGTATGACTTACCTGACTGCAAAACAGAATATTTCAATATATAAAGGGAGTAAATATCTAAGAAACTGTGATGCTGCGTCAATGGGAGGATTAAATGGTAATTTGGTTTTATCAACTGAGTTGATAATAAACCAAGAGAAGTCCCTTCTTTTTGGTAAAGTCCATCACGCGAGTCAGAAAAAAAAAAAAGCAGTGAAAAAAAAAATTGATGTTAGTAAGCCATGGGGAGCTCTTGGAGTGATGTTGATGTGTAAGGGAACTTCACCAAAAAGGAGGGACTGCTTGTAGTCTAAGTTGATAATGCAAACTAGCTGTCATTAAGAGTTTCTGATGTTGACATTTTGAGCACTGACCCTTGCTGACATTGAAATATATACTAGTCCATACTAGTGTGAACAAAAGTCTCAGAGTATGTTGAAAAGCTGATGTTTTGAGAGTTGACCCTTTGTCGAAGCAAAATTAAAAATGGACAAACGCGACGAGATTAGCTATGAAGGCTCTGGACCTTACTGGACAAGACCAGACCAGAGGAGTCTAGATTACCGGTAAATAGGACTACGCTTGAAGAGGCTAAACAATGTTGGTGTAAATGAGCTTTGATAGGGGCAGAATAGACCACACTAGCTGAGACTGCACTAGCTAAGAGTCCATTAGTCTAGGCTGGCCTAGACTAAACTGGGCTAGCCTAGACTAAACTGGGCTGGCCTAGACTAAACTGGGCTGGCCTAGACTAAACTGGGCTAGCCTAGACTAAACTGAGCTAGCCTAGACTAAACTGGGCTAGCCTAGACTAAACTGGGCTAGCCTAGACTAAACTGGGCTAGCCTAGACTAAACTGGGCTAGCCTAGACTAAACTGGGCTAGCCTAGACTAAACTGGGCTAGCCTAGACTAAACTGGGCTAGCCTAGACTAAACTGGGCTAGCCTAGACTAAACTAGAATAATCAAGCCTAGATTGGACAGGACTAGCACCCCCACACACCTTGTTTGCTTCTGCAGCTTTTCTTGGCTTTGCTGTTATGGAAGGAGGCTGCATAACGACATCTCCAAACCGAACATCATCTGAAAACAAAGCCACGTTAAATTTAACAAGCAGGGATTACCCAGTTCTCTACACATATGTTAATTATGCCATTGTCTGATATCCATTCTCGCCAGTCTCTCAACAATCTTTGTTGTTTCTGTTTCGTTGAGAAAAGTAATTAGATATGAGTCATAATTGATTGACAATTAATTTCCTTTTTCATTAAGTTCATGATACACTTGGGATTAGTAACCTCTTAAGATCGCGCAATGTGTTAAAAGTTCATTTTAGAAGGAATCGTTCTGTGCTAAATTGTTCCCTCGCTGACCGGCGTTTCATATGATTTTGCCAACCGAATTCCCAATTAAACTGCCACCCCGTGTTTACGAGTGATTAGGAATAATCTGCTGGATATCGTCACAGAAGTAAGTGGTCGATGATATGTGATTAATCACTGTAGTTCGCTTATGTTGTAGTTTGCCCTGTAGTTTGCCCTATCTAATATTATGCAACGTTTTCCTTAATAGATCGAATAAACCAGAAATCATTTAAACGGTTTGCGTCAACCAGTGGATTAACAAGCCCCTTTTTCTCCCCGGATCAGTTTCCCTTGAGGAAACAGGCTCTGGCTGAAGCTCTCTTCTCCTCTTTCCAAACAGTGGTTGGTTAGCGCACCAAATTTTACAAAACAAAGTTTCTTTGGAGTTGGTTGAAGTGAATCTACAGGACATCTACATGCGCATGTCTCATTGGCATGATGGGAAAGGTGATGAAGGTTTTATGAGTTGTCATTTTGAGCTTTTAGGCTTTTCATGATCTGATTAATTTCATTTAATTCCCATTTTAAATCTCCATGTTCTTTACCAACTGAGTATCCCCCTTGAAGAACAGCAAGGCGAAAAAGCCCTAGGGTATATGTCTGCATGCTACAAATACCTTTTGTTAGGTCAAAGCTGGCATTTTTCTCTGACAACCTTTTCTTTTCTTTAATCTTTTCCTTCCTGTCTCTGAGATGCCTATACCAAAGGACAACAGGAATCAATTTAACAAGAGTGATCCACATTTTATCTTGTTAGGTTCCTTAGCAACCCAAGCTACTGAGTACTCTTGTCATTAAAGAATGCTTCCCTAGGAGATATTGAGTTAACTCTGGGAGAAGACTGCTATCAATAAGATGCTTTGAGCAGATTATTAAAATATGGAATTAGAGCCAGTTAACAAATACCGTTGTCTGTACAAGGAAATCTTAGTAGAAGTACAAGTTGTCAAGAAGTAAATTGCAACTAAAAAAAAGTTTAAATGAGTTTTTGACCACTGTAAAACTTAAGGTTAGAAATCCAAGTTTTTGCAAGTAAAAAGCATTATAAGGTTGACTGAACGATAATGCCCAAGCCAGAGAGTTGAAGTTCACCCCAAGGCCATTTTAAATTCAAGAAGTAGAAAATTCTACCACTAAAAATATTTATAAAGTTACAAGTGGAATTACATGCTAAAAATTACACTTAGCTGCAAGATTGTTGAAGATTACAAAAAATATGAGAAATGTCATTTTTCAGTTGGGACTGAATTCAAATATGGCTTGCTTGAGGCTTTCAACAACCAGATAATTTAACTTGAACCAAGCATAGCAAGGTCATGGTGCACCCACTTTTTAAAAGGAGCAATTGTACCCTTGGGAATTGTAAAACATAATATAAGCTCACAAAGGAAAGGGGAGCACCACATACTTTTTTCTTCCATCTCTCATTTTCCTTGATGCTTTCAAAGCCTCTGCAACTTCTTGAGTGGCCTCTTGGTCAATTCTCATAAAATACTCTTTCTTGCTTTCTCCAGGAATTCTTTGAAACTTTTTTGTACCTGATTGGGCTACAATATTTACAACAAGATGTATTTATTAAGTAGATAAAGAAAAATAATACTTTTGTCCTCAGTCAATGCTTGAAGAAAGATCACACGGTGACTATAACAGTACTTCTAATCCTTTAATCCCTGAAAGTGACAGCAGCTTATTTCCCCTTACACCAACATACTGTAAAAACCTGCAGATGAGTCACACCATTTTCCCAGAAATTGTTGCTAGAAATTGAGGGTGTGGCTTATCTGTGGGAACATTCAAAAAAAGTGTTGTGAATGTTGACGCCAATTTTCATTAACGTGTCCAATCTAATGACTGGTTACAAAGCTTCCAATGTTCTGCTCACATTCTTGTTGTAATGCAAAAATCTATGGAAAAAATTGTGTTGAATGAAGAAATTCCTCATGACAAATACCACAAAAAGATCAATCATTTGTCAAAGTTGGTTGAAACGATGTTCATTATGTTAAAGTGCTAAAATTGTGGGTAACACTTTGAAGTATTTTCCATTGCAATGTTAATAGTGAGTTTACAATTGATGAACAGTGGATGAAGAAGACTTCTCAAGACTCAACTTTGGATTTCTTTTGATTTCTTTCAAAAAACTTTTTTTCCAAAATTTGAGTTGCAGGGTGTGGCTTATCTGTGGGTGCGGGTTTTTATGGTACTTAACTGAATCATTCCCAAAGACCAAAATAATAAAGGAAGTGATGGCTAACCTCAGAAGCTTTGATTGTTAAATGAATTCTCCTTGTCAGTGCCAAAGAAAATGTATAAAGAACAGTATGGGGAACATGGATACTGATGTTAGGGTGTAAAGGCTGGGCTATGGTCTAGCAGTGCCTGGTGGCCCCTGGTGGCCCCTGGCACCTTACTTTTGCTCTTGGGTGGCTCAGGAATCTTAGTTTATTCATAAAAGGCATATGCTGGGCACCCTGGATTTCACAATTTCAGAGCACTGGGCTCCCCTCAATTTTTCTTAGCACACAGCCTTGAAAGGGTTAAAAAAATGACCAAATATATAGACAATGGTCCACCCCATGGCTGTTGATAAGTTTGAAGGTAGAAGATAAACAACAAACAGCATGTGGCTGGCTTTTTTATGGACTCCATGTAATTTTGTCAGATTGCATGCCAAGGCTAAAAACTACATATCAGGCCTTCCACAACCATTGTGGGAAATTTCAAGCAGAAGTGAGGCAAATTTGTCTTACTCAATTAAGCGTGATCAGATCCTTTATGAAAACAAGGAGCTCCCTGAGTTGAAGCCTGACTAATATCTGGGAGGCACAAGGTCCCAGATAATGGAAGCTTGAATTTTTTCAAGTTTTTCAGGTTTGTGCTATCTTCTGATTATTGAATGAGAGCCTGGAAAAGGCTATTTTCTTTTGAATCTGAGACTTAAATATTATCTGTGCTAGGTTTTGACAGCATGTAACTTACACTTACCTGTTTTCTTTTGCTTTTTTTCTGCTTTCTTCTTTGTAGCCGTTTTCTTCATTATCAGCTGTCTTTTCATAAGATCCTTTGCAGCTCTTGGCATTCCCTGTTCTTCAAGTTTTTCTTCCTTTGCTAGAGGCTTAGAACTACGGAAATATACATTTGTCATCCAAATCGAAATCAAATGTTTATTTGTGTTCATATCCTTAACTTGCTAGTGATTATACTCGCATAATCTAATTAAAATACTACTCATAATGAGCTAATTTGCCAATCCTGTGCGTAATAGTAGCAACCATGAGAAATTGAGCTTCCTAAACCTTTAATGAGTACCAAATGATTTAACTATCGCGTGTAGACTTGAAGACTAAAAGTCAAATATAATGCGGCACACGTGTAAGCTGTGAGAACATTTGTATTACTGACTCTTCGAGATTCCTCACCTGGTTGGTTTGCTGTCTTTCCTCGGTCCCTTATAGAATGGATCACATGATTTTATTTTCTTATATCTACTCATTCGACCCATTTTGCTAAGAATATGAAATAGATTGGTCTCCAAAAATTTTTCACAGAACCTGGTATATTTCTGCGGCCATATTTGTTGCGATCTTTCTATTGCATGAAAAGCACTGGGAGCTAGTCAGTGATTCACCCATTTGAAGTAGCTATGTGATGTAAACCTATGAATGGATTCCACAATCTAGGCTTAAAAAAAAACAACTAAGATGGCGACGTAGGAAACTATGAAATAAACGCTCTGTTGGAGAAGAACCTCTGTTGTTTCTGCTGAGTGTTATAGAATATCGTTTCCAGAGCTTACCTCGTGGATGTCCAGAGCTGCTCGCTGCATGTGGCAAGGAAAAAAGCTTTTAAATCCGTCAAATGTAAGAGGAAGACATTGGAAAGACGTTATGTAGCAATGAGACGTAAATAGCTTTTATTGAAATGAGCTTCTGAGAGTACTTTTTATGAAAAAGGTTACCCTTCAAAATTTTCAGAAAGGCTTGTAAATGAGAGACAGCTGAATAATGCCTGCCTGACAGTGACAGACGTATTTCTAGTCATTGCTTCTTTCTGACTGAGAATAACTTTATTTTTCGGGTGAAGATAAATAGAAACGAGAAATACATCTATTATGTAGGTTAACATTTTCAGGGACAAAAAAATAATAGGAATTAAATGACGATGAAACGTGGTGACTACAAAAACCATGCACGGGTGATTTGGAATACTAGTGAAAATTCGCATATGATGTACAGGTGACCTGAAACGGCTCTGAACTCTTTGATTTTTTTCTTGGAAAATGTATTTACCTTTTGTATGGTTCTGTCACACTCCAAGTTTCTCTGTCTTTCTGTGCATTAATGTATCCGTTGGTTGATCTGTTCATTAAAAAAATCATGCAAGGTGTGGAAGATAATTAAGGTCCTAGTGGGGACCTTACAAGATCCTACTACCAAGCAATAAGTTGACTTAAAAATAGACAGAACGCTTGTTGATTTTTTCATTTTTTATATATTTACCAAAGTGCCTGGACTTTATCTTGGAGAGTGTGGGTGGGATGTTGAAATAAAACCAATTTTAACTCATTTTGAAAACTTTCTCATCCACAAGTTATCAGCAGATTTTGATGCTTTACTTTTTATTTCTTGGCAGAGTATCAGAATCTTGTTAGCAAGGATACGAACCATCAGAGAAGGTGCAGTGATTGATAATTATTTCATATCTATCTTCCAGCTTTTTTCAATCTTAAGCCTGTACATGCACTTGAATTGTAAGAAATAAGTGAGTGATAACAACAAGAATGGAAAGGGGAGTCAGATAAAGAAAGTGGACTTTGAAGCGAATGACTTCTTTGAGAACCTTACATTTTTGTTAACCATTTAACTCCCATGAGTAGACCAAGACAGAATTTTTCCTAACAATATCAAAACAATTTTAAGCTGACAAGCAATGAGTATAAAGAAAAATATCAATCAGGTTATTGGTTGATCCAATGCCAAATTCTCTAAACTAACATCATAAGAACTGTATAGAAGACAGTAAAGAGAATTACTATTGAGATGGGTTAAGGAAGCATGCTGAGGGTGACAAGTGACCTGGAAGGTCTCATCTGTCATTCACATTTTATTATTGTTTTAAATTTTTCACTTACTCTGACCACCTGTATGAGGGTGATGATTTTTCATAGTGCGATGAAATGGAATCCATAACAACCAGTGGCAAAGTAGTTTGGCGATAAATGTATAAACACAATAAATAATATACAATGAATATATGAAGTTCATATATTTTGAACTGCGGTATTAAATACGTATGATGCACGATCCTTCGCAGTAGATAGCGCTATAAATAGCGCTATCTACTGCGAAGGATCGTGCATCATACGTACAATAAATAATGTTAAGATGTCACAACCTCTTTTGTCTCTTTGTTTTACCTTATAATCACTTTTGTGAATGCTCACTGTACACCACTTACGATATTTTCACTCAGAAAATATGGATATAAAAAAGTACCCTTTTTTTAGCAAGTTTCATTTGTTCATTTTTTTTATCCCACATCTTTCCAATTTCCAAGTTAGTAGAGAGGATATTTCCTGAAACATTTAAAGTCTTGCCAAAGCCCAAACATACAAGTTTATGAATTGATTGGGTGAACTCCGAGCTGAGTCAATTCTCAGCAAATCTGCATTTGTTGCTTTTAAGATCCAATGTTGTCCTGTGCTTAAAAATTTCTCCCTGTTTTTGCATTAATTTCACTCTCCTGGACTAAAAAGATGTTTGTTTTATTTTACAGATTCACAACTTGGTGATCCACATTTAGAAAGCAAGGAGGAAACAAAAGGTGAGGAGAAGAAACCTCCAATATTTCCTCCCCCTCCTCTGGAGTTATGCTGCATGAGTGGCTGTCAGAACTGTGTCATGATTCAATATGCTGAAGAATTAATAAATATGTATGGTGATGACTCAGCAGCCGGAGCTGCTCTGGAAGAAATTCCAGATGAGGGTCTTAAAGCTTTTCTCAAAATGGAACTAATGCTAAAAAAATAGCTCCACACAAATGTTTTTGCTTCTTAGTTTATTTTCAGTAAACAGAAGGAGAAAAAAACTGAGGTCATTCTTAGAGCCCTGCCAATTACTGGTACATATATATACAGATTACACTTAAAGTAACATTCATAAAAATGTAACTTCTGAAAACACAAGTGGCATTAATCTTCAATTTCACATGGAATTTTTTTTTTTTTTACTTGGTTAAAGTAAGAAGGGCAAAATTTTCTTTCATTAGTATAGGTAATTGCATGGGTCCGAGTAAAATTAAGGATTAATGTCACGCGTGTTTTCGGAAGTTGCTGAAATTGCCCGAGTCGCGCAGCGACGAGGGCAATTTCTGCAACTTCCGAAAACACGAGTGATATTAATCCTTAATTTTACGAGGAACCATGTGATTACTTGTTTATAATATAAGGGGCAAAATGTTTTCTTACTGATCCGGATGCCATTGTTACAAAACAAACAGAGATTTCTTTACCTTGGCAGCGGTTGCTAAGCGATTTTCAGCCGATCATTTTCAAGTAATTTCGCCCGGGGCAATTACAAAAATTAAGAAAAAATGCCCTCTGTCTTGACCAATCACAATTCAGTAATTTTGCCCCTTATATGATAAAGAAGTTAAAAAGCACGTGCTGTTGCACACTTTCAAAGGAAGCCATTTTCAGTTAGCATCAGTGAACTAAAAAATGCACAGATAGATGAATAAAATGTTATTTTTGTACAATATGGACCAAGCATTGGAATTAGGTAGAGTTGACTCGATTTTTAATTTTTTTCAATTCCAAGTACCAGTAATGTTTCCTAAGGCAATAAACAAAATTAATGAAAAACTGGCTTTTGTCTTTGCTAATAATCAGCATTTGATAATGCCCTCTATGTTATAATTGAAGTAAAAGGTTAAGATAATTTGATCAGAATGATTTCTCAAGTTTAAAATTTTAGAATGGATGTGACTTTGTCAATAATACAGTCACTGTTGCAGTGATCTTTCAGCTCAAACTCTGATTTATACCGATTTTTTGCAATGCAATTGATGTTTAACTTATTAAAACTAAAGATATGATTGAAGAAAATATGCCAACAGGTATAGAAAACCAAGAAATACAAGTTCACGGTGTAAACTAAAATCAGAAAACGCATATTCTGCTTCAATTGCCCTTAATGCTACTGTAAGGCAAACAAGGTAGGGTATCACCTCCAATGAGGGACTTAAAAATCCACTATTCTCGTCCTGTTTGCATTCTACATATTGCCCTAACAGGGCAGCAATTATAAATAAAAGGTGATCGTCTAAACTCAGGGATCCAAAGAGAGAATTGTTCGAATTCTGTATCATTCTGTTATAGTGCGATCCGGCTAAAGGATAGTCCAAGATCATCGATCGCCTTAAACTCTTCTTCATTGATGACCAAATGCGAGCTTTAAAGTTGTCGGGTCTGTTCAAACTGGGATCATTTAGATCTGCTCTTTGTGAGACACGTTTTAAACATTCCTCAGCTGTCTGGCATAGGTGATGACTCAGTGGGTAATGCTTGGTGTAGATTTCAAAGCCTCGACGATAATGATGAGCTGCCAGACAGAGCTCCCCGCATTGTTCAAATACCATTCCAAGATTCAGCATCGAGTCACCCACTTCAGAATGATCACTTTCCAATTTCTCCATCCGAATGTCCATTGCTCGGAAGTGACAATTTTTAGATTCCTTCAAGTCTCCAAGATCCATGTAAACCTGTCCTAGATTACTCAGTGCTTCTGCTATCGCGGGATGTTCCTGATCTAGCACCCTTTCTCTAATAGATAATGCAGTTTTAAAGCAATCCATTGCCTTTTCAGATTGACCTGCACGCCTATACATCAGCCCTAGGTTGTTGTAGGATTCAGAGATCACAAGGTGATTGGGCTGGTACAGTTTCTTTCTCATTTCAAACGCTTCCTCGAGATATTCTTCCGCTTCTCTGGTTTCATCTAGTTCACAATGCACAATTCCAAGATTGTTTAAGCAATTGGCAACCTGGGGGTGGGTTTCCCCGAAACGTTTTTTCGCTAAGGCAAGTGATCTTTGGTAGTAATCCTTTGCAATGTGGTTCTCGCCCAAGACGCTGTAGATGGATCCAAGATTGTTTAGAGAGGAAGCAACAGCAATATCCTCTTCACCGCAAAACTCTTCCCTCATTTTTAGTGACCTGATGAAGTAATCTTTGGCATTTCCAAAGTGGCTTAGTGTATAGAACACATTTCCCAGTTTGTTTAAAGAATCCGCAACTTCCCGACTCGACGTTTGGCCTGGATTTAGAGGTTTGTAGCCGAGACGATTCAGCGCACGCTGATGGTGTTCTTTAGCCTCTTGAAACATTCCTTGTTTCAAGAAGACGACACCTGTATTGTCTAGAATCTCGGCAATAAAGGCTTTGTCGTCATCGTTCTCTTCTTCTTTACCACTGGTAATTTCGAGAGCACATTCAAAGTATTTCATCGCTTCTGGTAGATAACCTTGTTTGCTGCAAATGTCACCCATGCTGAAAATTACTTTTTTGGCTTCATTTAGACTTTCACGTCTTGTCACGTGCGATACCCAATTTGACGTCTCCAAGTGGCTGCTGAACACTCTTAAATGGGGTGCAATCATGTTAGAGAAGAGGTGAAACTGGAGATCAAATTCTAGGGTGTCATGTTGGACAAACGGCGATACTGTCTCGATGTATGACTGAACAATCTCAAAGACTTTATCCGTGGTGTTCTTCTCGATGAAAAGACTTTTTGTTACGTCATGTACGACCCGGTGCACTCTAACAAGGGCAGGATTATCCGCGTCTGGGACAAGCAGACAGCATTTGGAGATTTCTGCTGCTGTGAGTAACTCGTCGATATCCGGTTCCATTTCCGTCACATATTTGACAATTACATCAAGTGCGATTGGTGCTGGTGAACTGAAAGCTAGGAAATGGAACACACGCTCAAAAACTGCATTCTTGACAAGTTTTTGCAGTGTCAATGACACAGCTGAAGTCATTGACTGCGGATAATTCATGTTCGTCTTTTCGTAGATCTTTTCCATAGCCTTTCTCTTTCCCTTGTCCAGTTTCTTGACGTAGCTTCTCCACGTGAAACTCGCAGAACCAATTTGGGTTCTTGCTCCGTCGTGCAGGAATCGAACATACAGTGCTGCCGAAGCAATGGCCAAAGGCTGGTAATCTAAGGCCTCTAATACTAGATGTTCTTCTTCATCGTCACCAGGTGAAAACTGGGAGATACTCCTGAGAAGATTCAGGGCGTCATTCACTTGCATTCCTTCACTGAGGGAAACTTCTTTGCATGAAGGGTCACCAAATGGTAGATAGATGCTCTCTTGTGTGGTAACGAGTACCTGTCCACAACCTCCACGCTCTTCTTTCTCTGACAAGAAGCGGCATAAGCTCTCACTTTCGTCGACGTTATCCAATATGAGCAGCCAGGTGGAATACTCTCGTACCTTGGAAAATGCAAAGCTTTTCAGATGCGTGATTTGTTCTTTCTTCGTCAATTTGGAATCGCCTCCTACGATATTACCTAGAGAGTATTCTGTGATTCCAAGCTCACGGGAAAATCTCTTGTACGATTCAAACAAAGTTTCTTCGCTTTCAGCATCCAATGTCATGACAAATGAGTTGCTATCCGGGTTCTCATCGGCAAATTTTCTTCCAACTTGACGGGCAATCTGACTTTTGCCACTTCCTGGATTTCCGGTGATAAACACTGTTACAACAAAATCATCGTCATTTTCATTTTGGAGGTCAGAAAACGTCTGCATGATTTCTTCACCTTAAGCTCTCCTTTCAATGACCTTGTGCGATGGCTTGGGGGGAAGAAATACGAAGTTTTTGGGCTTACCCTGAATTTCCTTTTCTAAGACGGCTATTTGCACTTGGAGTGTTTGAAGCTCACCCGTGGGAAAGTTCCGTTGATTGACAATTGTTTGCAGTTCATTTGTGTCGAGATTTAGAGCTATGAATGCATTTGTGACCTTCTGAACATTGGCCTGAAAGTCTGATTCTAAAACACTTGGTTGGGAAAGATGTGCACAAAACCCATTGCGGAATTCTCGCAAATCGTTAACATTACTGTGGACAGTAGGACTTACATGTAACAGATGTCCACCAAGGGAATCGGAAAAGAGAATCGCAAAGAAAAGGCATGTACAATCCCAGTTATCACTGTCTCCATATTTAATACTGTTCAGAAGCCTATAGTTTCTCTTCCGGCTTTTTCGCGATTCCATGTTGAAAAAATCCATTCCATTACTGGGAGTGTCAAGCCATTGTCCTCGCCTTCTTCCATACAATCTATTCCATTCTTGTTTGAAAACTGATTGCAGGCCATCCCGTACGAGTTTCGTAGTGATGTAACAAATACGGAAATAATTAAGCTCTTCCAAAGAGTACTCTTGGCGCGACATATTTCATATCTATCTTGCCGCTGTTTGGTCTGTAAAGAAAAATATTCTTAGAATATCATAGTACTGAGAGGTAATTGTTTATTTAAAGGAAGAGAATAACGAGTTGAAATCTCATTTGACTGCACACGTTAGTAGCATTTCGAAGTCTGCTGACAGTGGCATGACCATTATGTAAGACATTTTATTAAAAACTGGATCATTGGATAATGCAATTCAAGACTTTTTATTGGCTTAGCCATTATGGTTTATCTGCCAATAAACCATAATCTACAAATATGGTAAGAGTACGTGTCAGCTTAAAATTAAAAGAGAGTTAAAAGTTTAATAAGTTAATTTAACGTTTTTAGTAAAACAATTATTCCACTCGCCCTTGTTGGATATGAGATGATTATAGCCAACGACCGCTACGCGCCTCGTTGGCTATCTATCATCTCATATCCAACGCGCGCCCGTGGAATAATTGTTAAAAAAACTTAACTTCTCTTGCTCTTATGCAAATGCTTCCTTGCATATTTCTTCTTTTGAGACGAGTTGTTATGAGAATGCGCCTTGTCTAGGAAAATTGTCAGAAACTGCATTAGCTCTGGTAAATCCCATTTCCGAGCATAGGATTCCAATCTCAGCACTCCGTATTTACACCTAATTTTACGTTTGTGGATTCCGTGATACAGCTCATAATTCATAGAAGCACACGCTTCTGGTTGTATCAAACGGTGCATAACACTTTCTTGTATTTGTATGAAGGGCGGATGCTCACTCGAGCAAAACTTTTCATGTTGTTTCTACTGTTTTGAAGAACATGTCGGAAAGAATCAGCGGAGGTTTGGAAGCAGTACAAAAATAGATTTCTGAATTCGATGTATAAAGCTTGCTCTGTATGCACGACTACTAACTTCCGCAATCACTAAGATATTTTAAAGAACTCAGTGGCTCGTGCATGTCTTCAAATACTGAAATCCAGCATAGCACAACTGATTATGAGCAAAAAAAGTAAAGATTTCAGGAAAGTAGTAACCCAGTTAATAAATATGCTTAGTTAAGGCAGTATCACTGTTGTACCGTGTTTGTTAACGGATTTTATACAGTGCAGATCGGAAGTACGTGTCAGGGCATGTATCGATAGATCTCCCTCCGAGAACTGTTGCGCGATCAGGCATAATTGACCGAGTTTTGTCGGGGTCAAAACTAATTTAACACTCACCTAAGCTAAGATGAGCTGCAAAGTTAATTCTTGATACATCTTTATCGAGGGTACTACTTAACTGTAGAAATCAAGCCAAACGAAGAAAGGCAAAGTTTTCTGCAGACGTTCGCGTGATTCTTGTGACAAGACGAGGCTGGCCGGATCCGACTGGATTAAAATTTTCCTCGTTCCAGTCCTATTACCTGCACGCCAGTCTTATTTCCTGCACGCCAGCAGGAAATCCATAAAGCCACCATGATGTTTAGATGTCTGCACGGGCTAGCTCGAAGGTATCTATATTCAAAGTTTACGTGGCGTGACTCTGCTTATGACCTCAGGGACTCTGAAAATAAGCTTAATGTTCCACTACCGCGCACTAATTATTACAGAAAAAGCTTTAGCTACAATGGCGCCACATTATGGAACAGTTTACCACGCGATATAAGGAACACAGAGTCTCTGGGGTTATTTAAACGTAAGATCAATGACATTTTTTAAGTCTAACGCACGGCATTCACGGAAAACAGCTTTAGTGTTATAGTATGTAGTTTTAATTTTAAATATCTTAGCGTATGTGATATGTATTTTTATAGGCTGATGAATTGATCGTGTCTAAATAAAGATTACAATACAATACAATACAATACAATACAATTACGGACCATAGCTAAGAGGGAGCTTTAGCAACGACGACGGCGTTCGTCGAGGGTAAGAATAAACAGTAATTTTGGTCACCGGAAAATTATGAAACCCGCGAATATTGCGAAATCCCGCGAAAGGATGACATTTAAAAACTGAATTAGTGGCGAACGCGAGAGAACTTCCCTGTAGATCTCAACCACCTCCATCTCGACTGAGTGATTACGTGACTAGAGCGAACAGATAATAGTTCGAAGCGTGGAATTGTGGGATACCTGACTAATCCTCCTTTCTATTGATCCATGCGAATCGTTCCAGAATGCCTTCCGTGGATCAGTTCAAGGCTTCGATGGTCCTAAGTGCTGTAGGGGATGCACTAGGCTACAAGAATGGCGAATGGGAATTCTGTCATTGCGGGGAGACTATTCATCAGCAGTTGCAAACCCTCGGTGGCCTCAAGAAAATTGACATCAAGGGCTGGATTGTGAGTGACGACACTGTATTACACTTGGCCACTGCTGAGGCTCTTGTATCTCCTTGGAAAACACGCGAAGAACTTTTCCTCAAACTCGCTGCAAATTATAAAGCTGGCATGGTAAGTAGAATACCTAAATGGAATTGAATTAATGTCACATCCAACCAACGAATTTGCACCCTTGGGCAATTTTGAAGGACAATGATGATGAGGTTGCGGGAAGAGTGTGTGTGTGTGTGTGTGAATTTGCACCCTTGGGCAATTTTGAAGGACAATGATGATGAGGTTGCGGGAAGAGTGTGTGTGTGTGTGTGTGTGTGTGTGCCTGTGTGTGTGTGTGTGTGTGTGTGTGTGTGTGTGTAGGGGGGGGAGGGGGGTAGATATATTTTAGGGATGTCTATTTGGGTTGTTGAAATGAAAGGTGGTGTTTCCTGCAACACGTCTTTTCAGGACCTCTCTCACCTGGATGATCAAACCTAAAGATTAACTGCAACTCTGGGTTTGAAACAACTACTTCTGGAATTAACTTGGAAAAATATTCATTTCATCACCTATTTTATTTTTAAGAAAGATGGAAAATGTTTTTAAATTTCTCAACTTCATTCACGGGTTAATTTAGTGCAGAGATTTCTTGATGTGAAGTCATCCAAGATCAAGTACACTTATAGGAGTGTTCATCTTTTATTTTAGGGAACCTCTGTGGTGTTTTCATGAGAATGCAGCAGGGTTATGTTATGCCAATAATGAGAAATTTCACTGCATACATTTTCCCATCATTTGCAAGTTTAGTGGAACTGCAAGGTGCTCTTTGAAATACTGAAAATTTAATCAGTTTTAGATATGTTTTAATAAACCCTTAACTGGTGTTTTTCTTTGTAAAAAAGTGATTTTCTGTCAGATATCTCAAAATTTGTCAAATTAGTTTGTAGGAAAAAAGCTTGTCTATTTTATAACTCAGCATCCAGTCACAATGTTTTGAATGATAGTGAATTGGGCATTTTGAAAGCGTGCCGAAACCTACCGATAACATCAAACCAAGAAGCTACAAATAGTGACACATAAACTTGTAATTTCATCCCTCAACAAAGACTAACAGTATAGCAATTGAAATGTCACAGTCAATACACAATTGATTAACCTGACTTTTACATCATAAGAGAATTGATCAAACAATCATTTATCTATGAAACCATGATGACCAACAACATTTTCCATGTAACATAAGAGAATGTGCCATAATAATATAACAAAAGGGCCCCATTCAAGCTCAGTGGCCTATACTGCTAAATACATATCCTGGTTTCTGTTGCATGAAGTATTGTCAGTCCATTACAAGTTTCAAGCCGCCCCCTCTCCATTCTTGAAAATTTTTTTTACGCCTTTCCAACATTTCCTGACACCCATATATAGTCCTGTTTGGAGAGAAGTATTGTTTCTTACTCAAGCAGATAGCACAATAACTCAGCCAGGTCTCTAACCAGGACCTTTTTGACCAGAATTTCTGCATGTGATCCAATTTTCCCTCATGTCTCCCACTAGTAATACAATTGGGAGACTTCATCTCATCACACTGAACCCTTTAGCCTTTCAGAATGACCAGCATCTAATTTCCTCTTATTGAAAACTGGATCATCGGATAATGCAATTCAAGACTTTTTATTGGCATAGCCATTATATATATCTTATTAACCTGGTGCGAGGGCCGTACTGGGAGAATATCGGCCTGAGGTCTTGACAGTACAGACCAAGCGCAGCGAGGTCCGTACAAAAAAGACTGAGGGCCGATATTCTTCCAGTACGGTCCCAAGCAAACTTGGTTAATAAGAGATTTATTATACAACTTAAGTTCAAAGGGACATAAGTGCATTATCATTCGGGACCATTTGGGACAGTGCCCGGTCCAATACTTAGAGAATATTAGACCGGCAGTAGAGCATTTTGATTGGTTGATTTTAGTTATTGGTCCTCTGACTGCACGAGTCATGTAA